GTCTAGTCTTAAAATATTGTAGTAAATCAAGTGTGCGTGAGAGAGAATATTTAAACATTACAACCATTCTTCCACACTTCTCCAGTATGAAAGAGTGTGTATGTGTAGCTACAGACTTGTGAAACATGACACCTGGTCCAAACTAAAACAAAGTCATGAAACTAACTGAAAAAAGAGACGAAAACTAGTAAACACACCGAAAACTGAAAGACATTAAAAAGCCCTAACGCAGTACCTCGTACGAGTAGTGTAAGGGAATACAATTTACTAAATGATCTCAGTTATCAAACCAAGTACTGCTGGGTTACTGTGTGAGCGCGGCTGTTGCTTTTTTGCCAGGGAAGCTTATGATGCCATGACGTCAACCCACGACAGGTTAGTGTGCATCTTGGCATCGTGTCGAGCCGATCGTTGGTGAACGTCCAGGCGCATGTGGTTCTACGAGGCTGCACAAACATGCATTGCAACCTCAGTTTAATATTTTGAATGAGAAGTACAAGGTGGCAGGAGCACGGACCGCGTGCACGTCTGCATGCACACCTTCTGTTGGTTCATGTGAACACAGCGATGGTGAATATTGATCAGCAGCTGATTATTAGATAGTCACTGCTCTCACAGTAGCAACACAAGCTATGATGAGCCTGATAACCACACGGCTTCTTCATGAAAAGAAATATAGAAATCTCACCAGTAATGACACCAAGTAATAAGTAAAGTAATAGTATTACTTTTTAAAACAGTAATAAGTAAAAGTAGCTAGTTACTTGCCCAACACTTGTCTAAACTAAACTACAATTAAAAACTCATTCTAAACTATCATAACCTTGTTTGGAGCTCTACCAAACTGTTATGTATTATTAATAACATAACCTCATGCACCTGGACACAATGGAGACAACCCTAAAGTAAGATGAGAGAAATGAACGAGTCTAAGATAAGAACTCCATCGTTCCTCCTCAGCATGTGGCCCGTCTCCCTCCCTGCTGCCCTGGAAATGAATCATTTATATGAACTGAAGTCCAGTCACAATAATGTCTGTGTCTGCACTCAAACCAATTTGCCGTTCAGGGTATTTTGTCCATCACGACACAATCCCGTGTGCCCATAAGCCTCACGTTAATTCCTGTTGGACATCAGTAGCGCTGTCACCACAGACAGCACTCTGCATTACACTCTACAGCATTCACACCGTCAAAAGAAAAGCTGTGTAACATGAAAAGAGGAGTGACAAAGAGCGGAATGCCAAATGAGTTATAATATTAAACATGGAGAGTGAGCTGAAGTACAAAGGGAAAAACAGCATAAAATGAAGTTCAGTCAACTGTTGAGATAAACGGACAAGAGATGCTGGCTCAGCATAACTTCCAGCAGTGCTTATTACCACTAGGGTCCGCTCTGCCCTCCTGTGGGGACCTTTCTTCTTCTTTTTCATACGAGGACATCACACACACACACACACACACACACACACACACACACACACACACACACAGGATTGTCACAATTGCAAGAGACAAAAAATTGTCCTATGATTTTAGTGTCAATCACGGGGGGTCCAGGACTCCCAGAGACTCCTGCTGGTTTGAGTTCCAGGACTTGTTGCTCTGACAACAGCTGCAGGTAGATGCTGAACTAACCGATGCACTACATTGTGTCCTCTCAATCCAGATCAGCATTTTCATGACACACCTGTCGAACTATGGCAACGATCGTCTGGGTCTGTACACCTTTGAGTCTCTGGTGAAGTTTGTCCAGTGTTGGACCAACCTCAGGCTGCAGACACTGCCCCCCGTCCGGCTCGCTGAGAAGTACTTCCAGATCTTCCCTCAGGAGAGAGACCCTCTCTGGCAGGTCAGAAGATTCATTTTGGTTTTGGAAGCTCACACTTTTTGCAGATTAATCCCAATGTTCTTTGGAGATTAAGGAGAAGACATTGAGTCTTGATGTGATCATTTCTCAGAACCCTTGTCATGACAAGAGACACAAAGATATCTGGTCTAAAGAAAAGACCTGTGACCGCCTCCCCAAGTTCCTCGTGATTGGACCACAGAAAACAGGTTCCACACTCTCTCTATGTCCATTCTATCTTTGTCTGTGTCTGTAAATCTCTCCCTGCTTATTCTAAATGTCTCGTCTTTACTCAAGGCACTACAGCGCTTCATTCATTCCTGAGCCTGCACCCAGCCGTCACCAGCTCCTTCCCGAGCCCCACTACATTTGAGGAGATCCAGTTCTTCAGTGGAGCAAACTATGACAACGGGATTGACTGGTAAGGACGGGGCTACCACTTACTGCACACAACATGGCTTCAACTTGAATTCATTTCTTTCTAGTGTTTCTTCCGTTCTTTAAACTTATTTTCAGTTTCAGTTCGGCTGAGCTGGTTCTTGTCAGAGCTTAAAGGATAAAGTAGATATAATACTAACATGACACATGCACACACTACATTACATTACAAACATTTAGCAGACGCTTTTATCCAAAGCGACTTACAATAAGTGTATTCAACATCGGTATTCAAGAGAACTACTAGTCACCAGAAGTCATAAGTGCATCTCCTTTAAACAAGCATCTAAGAGCATAAACCAGAGCAAACTTACAGAAACAAACTAATCTGAATACAATAAGTGCAACAAACTATTATGAATACAATAAGTGCAACAAACTATTATGAATACAATAAGTCCAACAAACTATTATGAATACAATAAGTGCAACAAACTATTATGAATACAATGAGTGCAACAAACTATTATG